CTATTTGTATCTTTCTCATCGTAAACCTTGCCCAAATTATCTCAGCGAATTCAATGTCAAAAGGGAGCACAACAACGAAATGAAACATACTAGATTCTGAAGGGGCTTCAAAATCAAGAGAGTGAAAGGTAAAAAGGCCACGCGGGAAGAAAGGGAAGAAACACGACATAAGTGCAAAGATATGGCGTACTCGTTACGGGCTCGACGGTATTCATACATACATACATCCACTTTTCCCATGCATTGCATTCACAAGGACCCGTGAAGGGTTCTTCGGCCACTGTCGCGTAACAGTTTGTAATGGTAATTTAATTCACAGTTTCCACGCTGGTTGAAATTTACCCAAAGCCAGCCTCGAACTGTCCGATAGAGTTCATCAAAACCGGAGCCGAGGACGGAAGAATAAAAAAAAAAAGATCCGTAGAAACAGAGAGAAAGGATCGGTTGCGTCTGGCGGTGAATTTAATTAACATTCGTCGGCCGACACGCGTGTTTCGAACTCTCCCTTTGGAACGGGAATGAATTTTCAGGGATATTTTCGAGGATGCTCGACGATTCATTTTACGTGTCCGCCTCGGTCCGACGTAACTGGATACAACTAATTAATATAACGTTCTCCGTGGCCCGGTTGTTAGTCGCGCAACCATTGAGCCAGTAATTTGTGACAGTTTCCCCCCGGCCACAATGGTATAAATATTCGTTTGTTTGCTTTGCTCGTCGGTACAGATGTAGCCCGTGGTAACAACAATGTTGTTGCCAGCTGAAGAACAACACCGAACCGTGTAATAAATCCTGAAATTGTTTCGACCGATGAGTTTGCGTCGGTGTAGTTTGATCATTGTACGCGTAAAAGGCAGACACTGTAATTAAATGCAAATAAAAATTCGACAAATAATAATAAAAAAGAAAATACATGTCAAATTTACTAAAAATATTTTCAACACTTTCTAAAATTCTTTAAATTTCACGAGATAAACTATTTCATCTAAAAATTCTATTTTCAGCTTTGAAGAACACTCCTGTCTATTCCCTGTCTTGTTATTCGAGCAGACAAATCGACGAAGGAATAATACGAAATTCTATACGAATGAGAATGAAGAGAAAGACTGTTTTCTAAACGTGGATAAAATAGAGGAAGAACGAAGAGCGTACCTTATGAAACAGTAGCAACCGCACACAAACCTTTATCGTACACCAGGCAATTTTAAGAGGATTCTGTCCGGACTAAAGTGGTCACCATACATTGATGCGACCACCGAATCCAATATCTCGCAGCGGTTACCGAGAAATTCGGTTCTAGATCACTGTGTTCCTTCTGATCCTTGTCTCGAAACACACGCTCTGTTTGCGATGTAATAATCGAGACAGTGCAATTTTCAGTGATCGATCAAATAACATTCCAGCGAAACGATCGATATTCTGAATTGTCAAAAGCATATCTCAACTTTATACAGTTAATTAAAATAGACAGTAAATTGAGTAAATTGCTGAATAACACAGACAGCTGATGCAAATTGAAAAATTTAATTTGATTTATTAAATACTACAAACTTGTAAATTTTCAAAGCTCACGTGTTCCTTTGACTTTTTCATTAATCTATCGGATATGTACAGATGAATAAATAAATTCTCTATTAATTCAAAGGTTTTGCAATATCACAGCACGATATTCTGACTCAATGAACGCCACACAATAGATGTAATGAAATGAATGCACAGACATAGATAGGTGAGTGAGTATGAAAAGCTTTGCAGGTGTGTTTCTCGCTCCAAGCTTTTTGTAATCCTGTCAGGCTTTCGTAATTTCAAGCATGGAGATGATAAAACACTTCTAAATATTTTCTCTTATGAATACCAGTAGAAAGTCCAAATTTGCAAAAAAAAAAATTATTTTTAAAAGCCTTTTAAGCAAAATTTGAATTAAATCACTGTCCCAAAATTGCAAGGGAAAATTGTGAAAAAAAGTCTTAAAACAAACAAGACCGTTGACGTAATAAAAAAGAGTTCAGGATTTGCAAGAGGCAATATTGAATCGAGGTCCTCGTTATGGAGGGAATGATGGGGCTTTGGCGTTTAGGAAGGCGTGGTTCATACGGGGGTGACTTTCTGGCTAGCCGATGGATGTGACATCCCTATCAGAACAGGGCTTGATGCGGTTTTAACCACCTCCTCTGACACTGTCACAGGGATCCAATATGTTCGACGTCGCTTCCCCGTGTCAGTTTTTGGCCACGGCTACCTATCGATAGAATTTTAATGAACTCCGCCTTTCGGCCGGAAAGACGATCCGCCGAACGATCGTGAATTAATGTCCTCTCCTCGAAACGACATGGCCATCGAGGGAGGCAGCGGAGCAATCTAAGGATTCGCGAGCCCATCATCTCCTCGGGATATTTGCACCTTCAATGGCTCGCGTAAGAGCTTGACTTGCAAATATGCAAGTTGAGTATGATACTTTAAGCCGAACCAGCTTCGTTATGGTGTAAGACACGTTTTAATTGGTTTCGATGAAGACGAAATACTTGAATTCATTTTTCCAGAAATAGACATTCAATATTCTCAATATTCATTTCATTGATTATAAATTGAAAATAGACTGTAGTGTCTTATAATTGATATTAAATCGTAATATTTCTTTAGACTGTTAAAATTTCCTGTACTTATAAAAATAAATGATTTTTCTTAATCATCCTCAGCTTCTTGAGTGCCTTAATTACATCAGGGATCATCAACCTCTTAATTAAACAATACCACTAATCCATGAACAAAGATTTGATCTGTCTCTCCAAACAATAGAAAGAATCAGGTCAGCTGAATCAAGTCAGCACGATAAGAGGATTATGAGTTACGAGCGAGATAAGAGAATTTAAAACAAGCATTTTAGTTTTTCCAACCAGGACAGTCCAGATGAATTTCAACGACGTTTTAAGCAGCCAACAATCAAGCGTTAACCTACTTGTATCGGATCGTCAAGAAGGAGAGACGAAGACGTTTCGTAAAATCCGGCAACTAATCCGAATCGTTTCCACGGATTACGAATGTCTTACAAAGCTATAGAAGACTATATAGTTTTCCCTTTGAAAGCAAAGGGAACGTGTTCTCTGTTCTCCGATGACTCGAGCCGTTTAACTGCCTCCTCGCACTTCCAAACTCCAGCATTCCCTGGAGTTCCTGCATCCCCGGGAAGTTTCGAATTAATGTCCAACCCGTTTCCTCGGAATTGTATTCTTCGCAATTTTCTCAACGAAAGGTTACACGGTCTTGATTTTATACTGGCTATCCGGGAAAAACGATCGCTCGAAAGACGTGTAATGCGAACTTCAGAACTTTCGAAAATGGAGTGGATATTTATTAGCTTCAACTTTTAGTCGCCGACTGTTTGAAAGAATCGAAAAGATTCTGTACTTTTCATTAATTTTTTTCATTAAATCAATAGAATTTTATTTCTTCTCTTTAAAAAATCTATTCAATTGATTTCATATTCATACGAGAATCAAAATTAAAATGTATCAGAATTTTCACTTCAAAAACAAAAATCCAATATTTGTGTAAAGTCTATTAATATTTTAAGTCTATTAATTTATTAATAAAATATTATTTGGCTCGGTTTTCTGTGATATACGTGAACCGAATAAAAGTTTGAACAATGCAGAAGGATTAAATGAAATCCAAAGCGACAGAGTTGATCCCTAAGGAGTTCCTGTGGGAAGAGAGCACCTTAAGATTTCATAGCCTAAAATGTTCACGCCTTTCGAGAGGATTGTCGACGTGTAATTGATCGACAAGAGGTCGACTCGTTTCTGTCTTATTCGTGAACCTCCCTTGATTCGTCTTTCATTCGACTTTACCCTCTCGCCTTTTCTTCTCCTCGTCGTTCAATGATTTTTTCATTTCCTGCCCACGGAGATACTCGAGCCAAGTGTCCTCGTGAAACCCCTTTTCCGGTGTAAGGGCCATCCATTAAAAGCGAAGAATATCAGTGAAAAAATCGCAGTCAGATTATACCCCTTTCCTCTTCGAGTGGTTTTCTTCGGGAATCGAATCGAAGCTGCTTATACTTCTTACTTTATACCGAGTACTTGTTTCTGTAATTAACTCGTCGTCTTGTATAATTTCGCGATAGGCTCAAGAAATATCGAGTTATTATTCAACATGATCGTTTTAATTCAGAACCTTCGAGTTTTTATTTGATAAAATTCTAACGATAAATAAATGGAATAATTTCTTCATTCTTTTGATAGAATTATTTACATTTCTATTCGATATCTGTAATAGAGAGAGGTGAAATTTAAATGTAATTCTTTGGAGGAATTTTCAAATGAGATTTCCGAATAGGATTTTCCACATTCTCTGACAGTGTGTTGGTGAACGTTCTTTAGGTAGGAATGCGCGAAATTAAAATGAAAAATATTTCAATGAATTTTCCATGGCGCAGTTGCTTTTATACGATGAAGATTAGTCAGGTTTACCTCGGACTTCAATCAACGAACCCGCCAATATCCGATGCTAATACAGTCCATTGTTTTTACGAAATCTATTTGCTGTCTTTGTATTAACGGATCCGGCAATTTATCATCGGTGTAATATAATCTGCGAGCTTTTGTTATTCCACGGTTGGTACGAGGAAGCCTCATTTCCCGCAACAAATTCTTTATTAAAAAAGTTTGCCGAACAAACGTACGAGCAGGCAATTTCCCTCGTCTAAAAAAGGGGTAATACACCATGGATTCCTGAAAGCGTCGCTGCAACTCTTTATTATGCCTGTCTTTTGTGCGTGTTTTAATGTTTATGCACGTTGGCACCTTGCTAATTCCACTCGGTTCAATTTCACAACTCGGAAATGAAATCATACTTTTTTTTTAAATGAAATGCTTCGCTGGTAAAGAATAATTAATTCACGGGCTTTCGAATAATTTTAAACAAATCTGTTTTCCTATATTATTCTGTTTTTAATTTAACTCTACTGACAAATGTAGAACTGAATATGTTTTTTTTTTTTCTTCAATTAAGTGGAATTTGTAAAATTTCTATCAAGGAATGGTGAATTTTCTTCACGATTGTAATTCAAGATTGGTGCAGTGTAAACTCGATGTTTACACGGATTCGTTGTTAGCCCAATTCACGATTAATAGATCCAACGGGATTCTCGTTCAAGCTTAAGCTAAATCTAACCAAAATCTACTCCGGCTTTCAGCTAAGCCAATAAACTCAATTGGATATTAGCCAGAGTCGCGTTACGCTTAACGCTAAGGTAATTTGAGTTTAACTAAATGCGAACCAGTCCAATCCATGAAATAATAATAATCACATATGATTTTCACAGCCCCTTCGTTTGCGAACTTTCATTCTTTCTTTATCTGCTATTATCAGATTATTGCAAATTAAATATACTATTTTGAAGTATCACGAAAGACCATTAATATTCGAAACCGAAGGCTTTCTACACAAATACTATTTGTTTCACGAGGAAAATACTATTTTATGAATTGAATAATTTTGTTGAAATCCACGTTTTGTATCTATATAATTTGTACAAAAGTCTATTGATCGGACAAATACCTGCTATAAATTCACTTCTGATAACAGTAGAATTTCTGTTCGCAATACTGTGCACAATTCACAATTCATATTTCATATTTCTACCCTTCGTAATTAAATTTTTGAAAATCTAGTTCGGGTGCACTATAGGTAATACTCGTACCAGTCTGTAATTTTTAGAATCGCATGTGGCAGAGTTTATTTTGTTCCTGATCGTCGAAGAAACGAACGGTTAATGTCAACATTCATCGCGCGGGCAACATGGAAGAACGTGCACGCGGTTATTACGGGAAAATACAGGCTGTCGGTCCGCGCAAAATGACGCCGCAACAAGCGTCGTCGGATCCAATTGCGTCCACTTTCGCGTCCCTTGCCGTTGCGTGGGCTTAACGATAATGTTTCGGGTCGTGTTTACATCTTTGGCCCGGACAGTGAGTCATAATTTCACGCTCGAACCAAGATTGGACTCACCAGATAAATGCCTCGAACGAGCGAGGGTACTTCCAGTTGGACGTCTAAATTTTGACGTCGACCAATCGTAGAATATTCTATGCACGGCTTACGTGTTTTGCCATCGAAAATAATTACAATCTTCCAATATAAAAACCCAATTAAACTCTCAGGAGACTAACTAGTAAATTTGAAAATAGATAACTACACTAATAAAGCAGTATTATTAAAAGGAAGAATGTTTACGAAAAATCAGAAGCCCTGTTTTCTTTAATCAACTCCGTTCAAATAATTCACGCGCGTTCATTAATACAAATTCGCTCGTTTAACATGGTTGGTAGCATAAGGGTTGGTATTTTCTTCGATCAATTCGATTGCACCCTCCCGAGGTTGCATTCGAGCCACAGCCCTCCGTTTTGAAGCGTTCCATTTACTGGGAGCAGGTAAAACAAGGAAGGCAAATATTAGGGTAAATTGAAAATTCTGTTAGCATCTAGAGGGACGGGACGAGTCGTTTACGCAGAATCGTTAATAATCAGGAACAGAGAGCTCGAAAGTTCTGTTCCCGGTTTAATTGTTACGGTTTAACGAACCGTGGGGCCGTTGCTTTTGCAACAGAAATGCTCGACGTCGCGACGCGATCGTTGTTGGCAGCAACGGAGGCATGAAACTTCTTGAACAAGTGGAAGGAAACGCAGCTACCGGAGCTGTTATAAACCGTTCCTATTGTAAAGAAACAAACACACGGAGAATCGCGATAAATGCCGCTCGACAGTGATCTTTGTTCAGTCGAACGTTACTTGGTTGACCAACTTTCCAATCTATCGAACGTATCGCCTCCTGTTCCATTATACCGAATCTACGCGATAGGTTTCCTTAAGAAAAGTCTTATTGTAAGGAAAATTTTTTAAATGAACCGTTCAAAGGACAGAATAATTAACTTTGCTTTTGTGGAATTTATATGGCATCAATATTGTACCTACTATTTACACGAAGGGATTGAAAAATAAAATAGCAACATGTTTCACCAATCGTCAAGTTTCAGACGAATCTTCTCGGATGACGAAATTGACGGTCTCTCGTTTTACACAGCGCGACGAGATTACGCATTTTGATCGCTAGTAGTGTTTCATAATAAGCGGCAAGTAGGACGAAAAGCATCGGTACGCGTCCGACGAGAAACGAGCGACGGTTATTTAACGCGAAATCCATTTTGCGTAACTCGATTCCGACGCCATCATCGGGACAGCAAAACCGATTTGCCAGGTTCGTCGCACGACCAGACGACGATACGCTTCCCTATCGATCTCCAGACGAGATCGAACCTTAGCGATCCGTCTTGAAAAAGGGGTAAATCCAAGGATGGGGACAGGAGCGTGGATGATGAGTTGATTTACTGGCCTGTAAATCGACCTTAATCTCTACGAAGATTTGTGACCGTTTCACCGAGATTGCCGTCCGAAGAGCTTCTTCAACGAGCTTCCCAACTGTCCAGACGATCAAACTTTTTGGTGGACATCCTTTCGTCCATCTTCTTTGTAGATGTTAGAAATTGGTTTATTAGAGGAATGGGTAGTACAGTTCATTTTGTATTCCTTCTAAAAATCGGATTCATAATTGATTTTGATTTAAATTTTGCTTGAGGCAAAAGTAAATTAACAAGGTAAAATTAATATGAAAATTACCGAAGGAACCACAATGCCACTCTTTCTTCTACTGCTAGTGCTTGGGTGTCTTTTGGATCTGAAATAAACAGTTATATATTAGAAATTGTGTTTTGGAGTTTGATCCTATAATATATTATTGCAATTATCCAAAACTAAGTAGCTTATGTAATGAAAACAGACGAATTTTATTTTCCTCTGTAATTCAATCTTTCCACGAATAAAACGAACAGACGTGTAAATTTGAAATGCGAAAGCTGCAACGGTAATTTCATTTAATACTATATTATTCCATTGAACAAACACCAGCCGTGAAATTAATTATTTTCAAACTCGGCCGTGATGTTTGTGTTTTAAACGCGAAAATTTTCATCGAGTTACAAGAATTTATTAAAAATTTCCATAATCGAAATATCATGGTCGCACCTCTCGCGTTATTTCGCTCGAATTTCAGGTTTTTTTTTTTGAAATATTCATAGCAAAAATAAAATTGAACCGTTTCGTGTAATTAATATTAGAAGATACCACCCTTGTATCCTCGTATTTGTATAATTGTTACTAGAGATTAACAAAGAATATAATTAAAATATTTTAAACACCTCGGGGTCCGTCAATTGGAAAATGTTTATCAACTTTCATCGATAAACGTGCGACTGTCTTTTCACGGGCGCATTAAATATGAATGATTATTCATGATTCGCGTGGTTACTCGATAATGACTAATTAGTTGAATACGGACGATGATATAATGCAGTCCACCGTGTGAACGTAATTTACGCAGTATATACATGAAGCACGATTTACAACGCGATGATAATTACAGTTGGTACAGCTCGTATCTCTCAAAAATTTATGCGTCGGTTTTGTTCAATACCGTGTGAAATTAACTTCTGAAGCGTCGATTAAATATTCTCAGATTACGTGTTTAATTACTCATCAGCTTCCTTACTCCCTTTATGGAGCTTTACGAAGCACATTTCATCGAATGTTCTGTTTTTACGCGTATAAATTATAATTATTTATTTTAAATCGGTAGACGTATATTGAATTATAAATACTATTTTTCGATACTTGATAAAGATTTAATAATTCATTATACTGTTAAACGGATAAAAATTAATTTTAATGCATCAACTTATAAAAATCAATACCCAGGCAAAAATCATTATCCAAGAATGAAAATAACAGCGTTCGAATAGAAGCATCGTGAAAATCTAGTACGAGTTATTAATTGTTAAATCGTCGACGGGCTTTTTAACTCTCAGCACTTGTCATTAAACCATCAAATGCAGGAACGAACGAATGGATCCATTTGCTGATCGTTGCCAAAGTCACTCGCCGGGAACACCGGGCAAAAATGCATTGCATTCGTGTGCAACTGCAGCACACAGGTAATGCATGGATTTCCCATGTGTCACAAGATTGCTCTATTTTCCCGGGGTTGAATGATGCACCCTTTTCCTTGCCCGGTTGCTCCGAAAAAAAAAAGGCTCTGGGGGATTGGAAACATAGAGAGCTACTCTACCAGTGTGCCCGATAGTCGTGTTTCCTACCCTATAAAGCACAAACTTTTTTAGCGTCAAATCCTTTTTCTACGCCACCGTGCATGTCCGTTTTAATACTTTCCGCGTAGTTCCCTCGCGTATAAGTGAGACTGTGAATTTTTTTGAAAAAAAGGAAATTGATTTCGGTTTCAAAAGTTACGTGCTATTTGGAAGAAATTCGGGTTGATAGTTTTAAATTGAAAGCGTTATCGCACTTAGAAGCGATCAATACGACCCGCCAAGGGCGGCGTTCGCATTTCAAAGAATTCCAAAGGTAATGGTTGCACAATTTTGGGAAAATTTCACTTTACAATTTTCAATTGCAAGCCTTATCGCACTTGAAAGCAATCAATACACCCTTATCAAGGGTAACCTTCATATTTTAAAAAATTTCATAAATTATAATTTTGCAATTTTTGAATGTTGCATTGTAAAAGCGTTATCACCTGTAAATGCATTTGATGCACCCCGTCGATGGGAATGTTCACAGTTGAACGAATCGCCAACAATAAACGTCCACGTTACCGTAACCTTTAAATGCATCCTTGTCTTGAATTTTAACATCCTGGCTGTGTGCAACGCCGGCACTTCGGTCTGATTACGAGGAAAATCGAGTTTCGTCCTCTCGTCTGCATGCAGCGAAGTAGGAGGGCGGATGGAAGGCTGGTAACGGGGTTGAGGGCGGCTTCGCATATTTCCTAGCGCCATATGAAGCGAAATTAGCAATGTTAGAGAATATCATCTAATACGAGAAGTGCCGGCTGGGATTAGTTTCACCCCTTGCACCTTGCACATGCAAGCTGACCACAGCGGTTTGCTGCAGCTACGTTAGCCTTCCATGCAACACATGCAACTCCTGTCTTCCTCTCTTTTGTTTCCGCTTGATGCGTTCCATTTTCCAGTTACTTTTTATCCATAAATTCTTTTGATACATCCTTTTTTCTACGATTTTTCTACTATTTCTAATTCAACATGGTAAAACAAGAAAGAATTACAAATGCCCTTCAAAAATTGGGAAAAGTCGATCTAATTTTCCTCTCATTATTAAAACATTTTTCTTCTTCCTCTGATCTTTTATTTTTATTTCTGTCCAAGCAATTTTGTCCTCATTTCCTCTCATCATTTCCCTTCCTTCCTCCACGTAACCTACGTGTAGCGAGGAGCAAAAAAGCGGCGGAGAAAATTGGAAATCAGTGGAAAATTGTACACCTAGGTGGGTTACGTACCGTGGTTATATCACATTTTGTACAAACCGAGATTGTCTCGCCGTATTATTATGTCAGGTAGGTAAAAAAAAAATAGAAGATCTTGCAGTAGTCATTTATAGTCGGATCACTGTATCGAAGATTCTCGAGTACGTGACGTTTCCTAAAATTTACGTTATCCCGAGAAAATATGTAAGCCTGGATACAGGAATGAAAATGAATTTTTTAGAGGAATATAAATTCTCACGAATTCGTGTCCTGGCTGCGGGTGTAAATGGCAGGGGAATATATTTTCACGTTAAAACGAAAAAGAACTCCTTGGGTAAACAATATTTATGGTGTTAAACGGGGATAAATTATAAATTTTATAAATTATCTCCATAGGGAAAATTTGATTCTCTTGGAATCGCTTTGCCAATTCGATTTTGTTCCTTTTTCATTTTCCATGTTAACAAACTAGTTTTTATTATTTTTTAATTGATTCCTAGTTACTAGAATGTTATATTGGATGAAATTCTGGTTCATCCAAACCCGTTTCCCGTTTAATCGAATTCTCGAGCAAGATTGAGCAGTATTTCGTCGAATTAGATTTCTAGATGAATATCATGGCAATTCGTTGTAACCACCTACCAGGCAGAGTGCATCAACCCCATAGGTGCACTGATGCACGCCACTGTCCACAAATCATCGCATCTGTTGCTGCGGTTTTCAGAATACGCAAACCTGGACGATAAATGGGGCAGCTACCAGGGTGAACGGAGGTGTTTCAAATTAGATCGCGACGTCAGCCGTGTAACAAATTGATGAGCGGAAAATCAAATGAGATTTATGGATTTGACACGAGTTAAAATCTAAACCGACGGAAAAGCAATAAGAAAAACCTTTATTGCCTTTTCTCACTTTTCAATTATTCGATATTAAAATTATCATTTTGATTATTTATAACCATCTCAACAATTAAAGTATTAATATTTGTAAGTAATAAAATAGGAGTGATATTAGACACCATGTAAGTAGTATAAGTCAATATATGGTCAGGCGTCGCTCCTAGAAGCACTGCGAGTAGTATATGTCAATGTATGTTCAGACGTAACTGATTTCTAAAGTAAATTGAAAAAGTACTATTAATTTTTTAATAAAATAATTCCTATCAAAGTTTTAAATTACAAAATTTCTAATTTTTTAAAATAAATTTTATCTTTTATATAATAAATCGTACAGAAGTCATCGTGCTAATATGTCGTTCAGAATGAATTTCTTTTCAAAGGAAATGGACTTTTATCTGGAAAGAAATCATGCATCATACATAAAGTGATACCCTTAAATCGTCAACTGATTCTACGTGTTTCGATAAACGATGAATCGCTTGGACGACTATAAAAGCGAATAATAAATTCTCTTTTATAATATGGTCCTTTTATCCAATCGGTTGTTGGAGTGCATCGTTGTTATAAAAGAGGTACTTTAACAAGTCTTTGTTTTAAGGAAGATAGCATAGCTCTCGAGAAACGTTTCAAGAGCTCGAAGCGCCTTGGTGACTTCAAAAGAAATTGCTTTCGATTGCGATTTCTATTCGAGAACTTTGAGACGGATAAGGAAGCTTGAAATGTTAATAAATACTTTTTATACCAACTGAGAATTAAAATTTATATGCAATAATTTAAAGTTATTCGCGTTATTCAATCATAGATTTTCCAGTGATTCCATGATACTATCTTTTACCAAATAAACAGAGTAACTATAATAATAATTATTATTATTCTGTTCGAAAGCATACAAAAATTATCAAAAATATTTAAATTTTTACTTAGAAAAACACTGTTTCTCACTTAATCGCTAAAACAGTCTTCGATGACTCTATCAATGACTCTATCTAACAACTGTGAAGGTAAGTGAAATTAAAAATCGTCGAGTTTAAAGTACACGGTCAGGTCCTATCCAATTCCAGAGCAGAACAATCGACAACGGGACTGAGTTTCATTCTTCTAAGAAAATCGTTTAGCGAGTTCTTTCATTGAACGAAACGAAGGCGTCTCCTTGACAGTAACAAGAAAGATTACAATCGCGAATGAATAGAATAGGATTTTAATTAAGTGTTCGAAATAAATCAAAGCAGAGAAATTCAGTTTCTTTCAACGCTGGAAAATGAAAAAAGAAGTATAACGACGATGTTTCATCGACGACGACAATGCTTTCACTGATTTTCTCGCCACGTATAATTTACTATATTAATGCGTTATCCACGTCACTGTCAGCATAATAAACTTTTTGTCACAAGCACAACGTGCCGAGCAAGGTTTTACGTTATTACCATCATGGTTGTTTGAGATGCAAAGTATCTATTTAAATATTCATACACAAAACGTACGCGTAAATATTCATACACAACATGTAAATTAGAGATAAACAATAAATTTTGTAACCCACAGCTGACAAAGATTGTATTTTATAGTAGTATAATAAGACACGTTAAAATTTCAACCAAATCCTTTAATATAATTTTTAATTTTAATTTTCACTGTTTTCTAAAATTAAAACAAAATAGAAACTTCCTTTCTGAAGATATCAATTTTCAAAATCCGTTCATGTACTTTTTATTTATTTAATGAAGACTTCTCTCTCTGCTTTGCACTTTCAAATAAAAAACTAACGAGCATCTCATTTATCAGAAAACCGATTCGCCCGCGATATCACTCGATAAACGCTTGCAAGAATGCTCGCCGATACGATTTGCGACTAGTTATTATTCGATGCATCAAGGTAAGCGTACCAGGTGAAATATGATAATCGTTATTCGAGCCACGCCCAGTTTATCATATTTCTTCGAGCCCATTATCATAATGACATCGTCCACAGAGATCAGCCTCATTCTCCTCGATGAAAGACCGTGTTTCCAACGCGTAAGATTGATACAACGTTAAAAAGAAATTCTTCTAAATGCATCTATTATACGATTCATAATTCACTGATAAAATATATATCTAATTCGCAGTCTCTGTACATTTATTACGTATATCGTTCCTGAGGATTGTATCCGCAACGATTCCGAGGGTTAATAACTTCACTGGCTGACGTTAACGTCAAATAAAACAGACAGGGGTAGACTTGGTAAATAGGAAAGTAATTAAAACGGATGCTGGCTCAAAGAGTAATTGATGTCTGTAGAAGCACAAAAGAAAGAACGATACGATTAATTCGCAAAGATTCTCGAAGCAGACCCGATTTCCGTGTGAGGTCCTTTATTTTGATCTATCATTACAAACTGCATTATATTACTCGTCGAGTAATGAAGCAATATTCGGTAGAATTTAATTTGTCGCTGGTAGTCTGGCGCGCAAGCTGTTTCTTGTTTTTATCGCCAAGTATTCCGAGTACGTGCGGGTGGATTCTAATGAACGTCCGAAAACCAGAGGAAATCCGGTTTTCGTATAATGTTCGAGCGCTTTTACACCGCGAGGCTGGTTTTCGCGGAGGATACAAGCCACGGCTTATATTTAAGCCCGGGAAAAACGGTGAGAAGGAAAAGAGGAGAATACGTTGAAAGTGCGGTCTTTTTTATCCGACCATTACAGGATTACATTTTTACCCATTTGCCAAATGTTCCACCATGGATATTCCAACTGCGTGACTAGAGCTGAGAATAATTAATTATCGAGGTGCATTGAAACTCTGGAAAACTTCCCGAGTTTCCAGAGTGTTGAAAGCACTGTGCATTATACTTGTTTCGTAAATGATATTTGAAAGATACTTTAGTGAAATTAATATGTTACAGCTAAAACTGATAGTTTGACAACATAGTTATTAATGTCGATGCACGTGTTTTCGACGATAGTTCAACCACCCTTCGGGTAGCTCGATACTTTCCAAGCTTTTTTGCATGCGAACTTTTGTTCATTTACGATACAAGCTCACTCCTGGCTAGCCCGTAGCTCTCGTTACCCGTTACATACCACCACGATTATGAAAAGTTTCGGGAAAACGATGGGGTTCGGGGAGGGCGAAAGGAAATTCCTTCGAGCTTTTCCTCTGCGTCTCATGAACAGAGATCTACTCGAAGTTTGAGCTATGGAATTAGAAAAAAAAGGAAATGGAAATTAAGAATTTCAGAAATGTTAATCTACTGTGTGCTGTATTATAGAAAATTCCAACCTATCTTTGCTTTTGTATGCAATTGAATCTAATGATTTTTTATTATCGTTTTAGGATCGAAATCAAATCTAGTGGTGGACATCGAGCCGAAACGACAGACAGCGGTGAGACTGGGCGAAAGTCTGCAGATTTTATGCAGAGTCGGTAGACCTCTGCAGGTATGCCGTGTCGAGATACCTGGCGAGGATGGTGGCATGGTTTTGTCTAAAGGACAACCACCCGAAGATGGTATCGAGTATTACGGGGAGGGTACTGAGGCAGGACAATGCGGTGTTCACATCGCCAAGATCAAGGAGATCCATGACGGTATTTTCAAGTGCACCCTGACACCCACCGATAGTCGA